CTGAGGCTTTCATGGCAATGACTCCCTTGTTACTTTACTTGAGTCAGAAACCCACATGGTTATCCAGGAGTGAAATTACCACATTGACCAAAGTTCTCAAGTTCTGGAGTTTCATACTTGTAAATAACTCGGCTAAATTCATGACAGACTGAAACAAAACCTCCATAGTCAAAATATTTCATCTGTAAATGCCTTCTCTCATGGCATAAATTCCAGCTGCAACAAAACTGTACAGGCAAATAGAAGTTAGAAAGACCTTTAAACCTGAAAAAAACCCCAAACCAACAGCAATACAAAACCCAAAAACCTATGCCTCTAAAACTCAGTACTCCACAGAAAGGAGTTCTTTCCTCACTACCAATCTACCAGTTTCATTAAGAACAAGTTATTTCACTAGGTAACAAACAATCCACATTATTCAGAAGCTTTCCACACCTTCTTCCTTTCCATAAAAATCTCCTCATTCTCTAAAATAAATACATAAATGAATTCCTTTGTTGTCCCTTCGCCTTCAGAACCTACACGAAGAAAAAAAAAAAAAAAAAAAAAAAGCCATTTGTCAATTAATTCCAGTCCCTTAGACTTGGGACTCCATTATGCTGCACAATTGTTCATATGTGCCTGCTTAACATGGATGGAAAAGATGCTGCTACATTGGAGGGAAATAACGGTAGGCTGGGCAGAAGAGGTGCCTTCTTCCATTGTGTGCACAGTGCATTTTTGCTGACTGCAAGCTCTCACACGGCAGGAAAAAGCCCAAATGCCATTCTTGCTCTTGCTATTGGCAGCTGTTCTCTTATCACCAAAGAGAATTTATCGCACCACTGACAGATGCTGAGATTCAGAAGCTGGAACTGAAAGCCAAAGGGATTGAATCAGAAAACAGAAATGCCAAAAAAAAAAAAAAAAAAAGATGAGCCCTACCAAAGCAAGTCACTTCACTGCACACATTGCACATGCATCTCTCCACGGGGAGAGGAAAAGAGAGCCCGAGCCCCCACGACAGATGTCAGGCGTTCTGTTTCGGGCAGCGCTGGAAGCTGCTCCTGTTCTGTGCTGAGAAGGGTGGTATAGGAGACCACAGAGAACTTCACTACTCAAACCCTGCAGATAAAGTGCAAAGGAGAAAGATGCATCTCCACAGAGGAAGGCCTGGAAAGCAAGCTTTCTCAGTAGGGAGGTCGCTGTAGTTATCATGCAAAGGTACTTGCATTCCTAATGCTCTCTCCTGAAGGCAGTGCATGGATTAGGGTTATCTGAGTATTTATGTTTTCCCCCACTCTTTTAAAGACTTCACAAAGCTGTAGACCTTATTTTCCCATGTGCAGCTACACCACATACCAACAGGAAATAGTTAATTTGACAGATGCTTTGGCTACTTCCAAGAAAAGATATGGGAGGATATATCTGGTTTAGATAACAAGAGGCTTTAAATAACTTTATCTCCCAAGGTAGCAGTCAGTAAATGCATTCTCCCGTGGCCATTTGCAAGCTTTCTTTGCATGTACATTCAGAACTAAAAGTGCTTTATGCACACAAATAAATGTATGAAGGCTATGATCATAAACCAGTGCCTATATTTTATTCACAGGCTTTGCACTGAGATGCATGCTCATACACAGACTTTGGGACGAGACGTACCTCCTGCCACCCCCAGGGAAAACATGAATGTATTTATACACAGGCAAAGAAGAAGGCGGCTATGCACTGACACAGCAGTGACAAAGTCTCCAGGCTGCAAGTGTTATGCAAAAGAAGATACTCGACACCTTCCGCCAGCGCTCCCAAATGCATTTCCTCAGCTAAGGTCAGACTAATGACGGATCTCATTCGCAGGCACTGAACTGTCTGCTCCGAAGAGCTCAGAGCAAGACGGGCTCTCCCACGGGAGCAGATTCCAACAGTGGGAAAAGCAGCCTCAGGCCGCCTCCCACTTGTTTGCTCACAACAAATTTACAAAGAGCCAGGTCCCCACAGCTCACGCTTGGGAGATATCGTGCTGAGTATTTAAGAAAGGAATCCGAGAGCAAGTCACACTTTCTATCCTGTTCTAGTACTGATCTTACACTAATAGGGGTCTGCAGGATGAGAACCCAAGGCTCAGTACCGGTTATTTGTTAATTAGGAAGTCAATGAAGAGGCAGCTAATTGAGCTGGCGAGTACAGCAAACGCCGTCCCACCAGGATGGAATGCAGATATTGGACTGATAGCACAGTGCCAGAGTGACACCTGCAGGAGGAGCCACGAAGCACCTCGCAGAGAGGTCCCTGAGTTTTCCGGAGTTACTTGCACCGAACACCTGTCTCGTTCTGCACTGCTCTATTCAGAGAAAAACAGGGGGAAAATGATTTGGAAGCAGAATCCAACAAAAGATATCCACAGATTCTTCTGGCAAAATTGTAATTTTCGAATCACATGATCGTTTGAATTGGAAGGGGCCCTTAAAGGACACCTACCCCAATTCTCCTGCAATGAACGGGATACTCACAGCTAGGTGGGGTGCTCAGAGCCCTTCTAGCCTGACCCTGAATGTCTTCAGGGATGGAGCTTCCATCATCTCTCTGGGCAACCTGTGCCAGTGCCTCATCACTCTCGCTGTAAAAAATATCTTCCTTACATCCAATCTAAACCTCCTCTTTTAGCTTGAAACTATTTTCCCTTGTCGTGTCACAACAGACCCTCCTTAAAGAGTCTGTCCTCTTCTTTCCTTGTGACCACCTTAGATACTGACAGGCCACACACAGGTCACCCCAGAGCCTTCTCTTCTCCAGGTGGGACAGCCCCAGCAGCTCAGAAAGGAGTAAAACATGAAAAGATGCTACTGGTGCTACAGAGCTAATGCTAGTTAATTAATTCAAATAGAGTTGCTTGCTTTACCTGTATTTTCCTGAAACTAGAAGCTAAACTCAGGCTAAGGGTTTATTTTATCCACCTTAATTGGACATTATCTGGTTATACAGAAGATCATAAAAGAATTGAACTCAGCAGGGAGCTGTTTGGGCTAACGAGAAACAGCTTACATCATTTGTGACTTCCTCAGTTTTCTCTTTAGAAGCTCACACAGGTGATCTGATTTTCAGCAGAGAAGCACGGAACTTCTCATGCACGTTTATTGTTACTCCCAATTAAGCTTATCTGCCATAGAAGTAGGGCTACAGCATAGGAATTAGGGCAAGCTAGGTATTTACCCAAAAAGGTCAATCTAGGTCAAAGCTATCTTGCCCAGATGGCTAATTTCAATCTCTTACGCATATAACACAATTGTTCAATAAGCTCAAAATAAATAGTCTAAGTAATTAATTTAAAGCTGCCCTAATTGTTTCTCAATATTCCCTATTAATTGAACCTGTAACATTTCTTCTATCAAAGCTTCAAAGCTTAAACTTAACAGCCAATTAAAGCTACTGAAAAGAAAAGAAAAGAAAAGAAAAGAAAAGAAAAGAAAAGAAAAGAAAAGAAAAGAAAAGAAAAGAAAAAGTGCTGTCAGCTCTGATTCCTTCTGACTGAACTCTTTATAGCACTCGGGATCTAACTTAAATTGCACAGGGCTTGAAAACAGTTTTTTTTTCCTTTTTTTTTTTCTTTTTTTTTTTCTTTTTCCCCCCAGGTATAACGTTCTCCATGAGCTAACGATCCAATGGACAATTAAAACTAAATTACACTTTTAACCTGATAGCAACTTTCTAAGCTGCATTTGTCCTGACAAAAGGGAGTACACTGAGTTCACCACTCAAGTGAAGAATGAATCTCCTTTATCAGCAAGAGCTGGGGAGGATGCTGCCTGCTTTCCCTGCTCAGTCCCACTTCAGCAGCTGCTTCTCAGCATCGTCAAGTTCTCTTACCCAAAGTAATGTGGCAGCTACATCCTCTTTCTTTTAAAGGCATGTGTATGCATAAATATAGTCTCCTTTATTCTCTAGGCATTCAAAAGAGAAGAAGGAGGGGGATACTGGTTAGTAAAAAGATTATCAGTGTCTAGAGGTCGTTCTCATTAGCAGGGTCCCACTAGTTTAGACATTTCAGCTTCCAAGTGCATATGTTGACCAAAACAGGGCACTTTCCTATTTTTAGCACAGCTGATGTAGGTCAGATGGAAATGGAACAGTTCTTCCAGCACAGAACAGAAACATCTAGCGCTGGATGAATTACTTCCCTTCCAACCAAGCTGAAAATAACTCCTTTGTGATTTCCTAAGATTTTGTTTCCAGGAAACTGTGTTTGGATTCTCTTGTCCCTCTGTGACCCCATCACATGAGAGACTCACCAAGCTACCTCCTGAGTGCTGGCAAGCCCAGCTCCTAGCACTGTGTCCCTACAAGGTGTAGTATTACACCATACTTCCCCGGTACCCAGTGTGACTATGAAGGGATATCCTGTCCTCCATCCTGCACATAGCTGTTTGTACTATCTTGGTTGCTCTCCTTCAGCCAAAACTATGCCTAGGGATCTTCTTTCAGAATGTACTTTCTCTGGGTGTTTTTCTTTCTTTTTTTTTTCTTTTTTTTTTTTTTTTATTATTATAACGTAGGATTATTAATTTAACTAATAGCAAGCAAGAGAAAAACCCAAAAGAGAGAAGCCATATGGAAAGGAAGACAAGCTAAAGAGTAATGAGCTTCTTAATTTGTGTGACCAAACAGCGCAACGTGGAGCTTGAGGGGTTATGTATCACAATGGTTGTATTGCTACTTCTAGGATGGAGCACCTGGTCCTTATCATCACTCTCGGGTTTCAAATGCCCATCATCCTACATCCTTTACTTACCGCAGGGATCTCTCTGCCATGGGAAACATTCCATTCCCACCATAGAATCCTAGTGAGGCACTTGTACGTTTTGTTTAAATGAGATTGTTGTGCATGCCCCGTCCCTGGAGACGTTCAAGGCAGGTTGGATGGCGCCCTGGGCAGCCCGGTCTAGCATTAAATGAGGAGGTTGGTGGCCCTGCACGTGGCAGGGGGCTGGAGATTCATGATCCTTGAGGTCCCTTCCAAACCTGGCCATTCTGTTTTTGGCCCTTTCTGCGTACACGTTCCGATCCTCCTTTCGTCTCAGAAGGGAGGCAGCTCTCCCTTTGAAGCGTGACCGCCTCACGCCGGCCAGCAGGCGGCAGCACCGCGCAACTCAGGGCGCTCCGCCCCGCGCTGACGTCATCTCCCCGCGCCAGCCACCCGTCGCAGAGCGCCGCAACGTGCTGTGCGCGAGCCGGCCCGGCCGGGCTTTGCGCGGTGCCGTGGCGGGGTCGGAGGGCCGCGTGCCGATGCGGGGCGGGCAGGATGCAGCAGAAGCTGCTGCGCAGCGCGCACTACATCGAGCTGGGCGGCTACCAGTACTGGCCCGTGCTGCTGCCGCGCGGCATCCGTCTGTACACCTACGAGCAGATCCCCGTCTTCCTGAGGGACAACCCCTACATCACCGACGGCTACCGCGCCTACCTGCCCTCGCGCCTCTGCCTCCGCAGGTACGGCCGTCCCCGGGGCCGGGTCGGGGCCTCGGAGCCCCGCTCAGCCCCGCCGTGTCTCCCCGCAGCCTCTTTATCCTCTCCAACGAGAGCGTCAACATCTGGAGCCACCTGCTGGGCTTCCTGCTCTTCTTCACGCTGGGAATCCGCGACCTGACCGTCGTGCTGCCCGCCGCTCGCGCCGCCCGCGAGGACTTCGTCATCTGCGCCGTCTGCCTCTTCTGCTTCCAGGTGGGGCACCGTGCTGTGCGCTGTGCGGCGGGTGGGCTCGGAGGCCGAGCTGATTTTGACCCGTTTCTTGTGAGAACAAAGCACGGCCGGCCTAGGAGAGGCTGCAGAACGCCGGCTGGGCGGGCCGAGGCTTTGCGTTCTGGTTTCTGCTGGGCATTGTGTCCGGCGCTGTGCCCGCAGATGGCGTGGGTTTGATCACCAACTCGAGCACAAAAAGCAGCTGTGGATTGGTGGGGTGAAGCCAGTTGCATGAGCTTTAACAAGATGAGGTGCTGGGATAGTTCAGGGTGAGAAGAGGAGGCTCAGGGGAGACCTCACTGCAACTGCCTGAAAGGAGGTTGTTGTAATGAGGTGGGGAGTCAGCCTCTTCTACATAACAGCAATAGCACCAGAGGTAATGGCCTCAAGGTGCACCAGGGGAGGTTTGGGTTGGATATTGGGAAACATTTGGAAAGAATGGTGAGGCATTGGCACAGACTGCCAATGGGTGGTGGAGTCACCATCCCTAGAGGTGTTCAAGATATGCGGAGCTGTGATACTGAGCGACATGGGCTTGTGGTATGGTGGGATAGGGCCAATGGCTGAACTAGATGACCTTAGATGTCTTTTCCAACCTTAATGATTCTTTGATGTTGTTATACAGCTGGACTTGGGGTTCTCGTGCATTTTGCACAACTGTCAGAGTTCAAGAAGCACCTGAACAATGCCATCAGACATAGGGTTTGGACGTTAGGTGGTTCTGTGTGGACCCAGGAGTTGGACTTAATGATGCTTATGGATCCCCTTCAACTCCAGATATTCTACAATTCTGTTTCTCAGGGGGAAAAAAAAAAATTGACAGCAGCCAAGAAAGCCAAACCAGTGTACTGCATGTCAGAGGTCAATCACTTCTGTGTTCCCTCAGCAAAGCTGCAGAGTGCTGGTACTCGAGGTGGATTTGGGCTTTGGTTTCTGCTTGTTGTAGCTAGACCATACCGAATTCATCTTGGTCATACTTGGGCAGGTTGGGTCCTGCTCCTGTATGCACTGGCATCGCTTTTGGCCTCATGCTCTAGGTCTCAGTACCCTCATTTCCTTAGCTGCAGCCTGTGGTTATCAAGTCTTGCAAAGTTCTGTGCTTTATCTGTGAAAGAGGTTATGCTAGTTTCCACTGATTATGAGCAGAAATCATAATTGTCTACACCAAGTAGTTCTGTAAAACATGTAACAGGTTACTTTTGGACTCTTAAGCTTCAGAGTTGAAGCTTAATCTCCATTAATCCCCATCTGTTACCAAGAAATTAATGTGTCCTTGTTTTGATATTTGTGTAGGTCTGTATGCTTTGCTCAGTAGGATATCATCTCTTCTGTTGTCATCGCTCAGAGAAGACCAGCCGACGATGGATGGCATTAGATTACGCAGGAATTTCCATTGGTATCCTAGGCTGCTACGTATCAGGCGTGTTTTATGCATTTTATTGTAGTAAAGTAAGTCTGAGTCACTTGTTTCTGTGGTCCCATTACCATGGTTTCCATGTGCTGGGAAAGGGCTTTGTCCAGGTGGCACCAGGTGGTCAGGGGATAGGAACTGGTTCTGACACATGCAGAACTTTGCTTGCAGAAGTAAAAGATTAAGAGATTCCTTTTAAGCTGTCAATTGCATGAGCTTCAAGACAATATTTAAATCATTATAAAGTTGGTGTAAACTTAACAGGTCCTGCCTTTGTCAAATGCGTGAGGCCCATAATGGGACGTTCCTCCATCACAACATTTATATGCGATAGAAACAAGCTTATTTTGCCTTGGAGTTCTAAACTTTTGTAACTTCCCTGCTCCCTGTACAAGAAAGTACTGATCTGGTAGTTAAAGTAGTCCTCGTAGATAGAGTTACATTTAATATATGTTTTAGTGAAGCGTGTGAAATAAATGTGAACTAAGAGCATCTTCCCCCTCACTGGATTAGTAAGAACACACTGATTCAAGCACTGTGGTCACAGAAGTGACGAGAACACTTTAAATCATTGCATTTAGTAACATAGATTTTCTACCCAGAGTTTACCTCAGATGAGCAAACATACAAACTTAATTTTGTTTCTTTTTTCTCAGTACTGGCGTCAGGTGTACTTAATCACTGTGCTGGCAATGATCTTGGCAGTATTTTTTGTTCAGATTCATCCCAATTACCTCACGCAGCAGTGGCGCAGGCTGCGCTCCATCATCTTTTGCTCAGTGTCTGGATATGGCATTATTCCTACTATCCACTGGGTTTCACTGAACGGTGGCATTGGTGCAGCTATTGTACAGGTAAAAGAAAATAATACGGAAATAAGATTTACTTTTGCTTTGCACTTAGCATCTTCCCTCCCTCGGTCTCATTTTGGAAATGAGGGAGAAGTAGAGCTAGTAAAGATTTCTTAAAGCACAGAATTCCTTTGGATGTTATTACAGCCCAAACGCTGAGATTTATGGAAAGCCAATCAACAGGTTGAGTAGATGAAATCTATTTCAGTGATTTAAAGCTGCACTGTGAGAAGACCCACCTGGATGCAAACATGACCACCAGGCGTGCTTGCCTGAGGGGCAGAGCAGTCTGTGCAGGTCAGACGCACCCTTGCACTCCTCAGGGCAAGGAGCAGGAGCAGAGAGCTGAGTCAGCAGGCGAGTGGGAAGCAGTCAGTCAGGATGCACAGGTTGCAGAGGTGAGGTGAACCAGGAGACATGGGTGGGAAGTTTTTCCTCTTCTGTGCCCTGGGTTGGTGGCAAAATCAGCATTTGCCTACACAGCTTTCTGTCTCTCATGCATAACTTGTTTAATATCACTGTTAAGTTACCAAACTAATTTCCCTCTCTTGCTTTACCATTATGGTAAAGGTTACTCAGCTCTGAAAAACAGGAAGTACAGCACTGTTAACGAAGATGAATTTGCCCCAAGATTTAAATTGTTCCCCCAAGAATCACAGCCATTAGCCAGCTGAAAAAAACCTTTGCTTTCATAGCAAGTACTGCCTGTGAAAGTTCTTAAGATTGGCACTTCAGGACTGTTTTCTAGGATGCTGATTTAGCCTGGTCCAGAGCTACTGCTGAATTTGGAAGAGCAGCACTGATAATAAATGCAGTCTTCAGACAAGGTACTGAAACACTCACTTTGTAAAAGTCAAATAGGCAAACAATCATTGCTACTCCTGCTTTTTCCAATTAGTCAATTAGTTTGTCCTGGTAGAGCAGAACAGTAGATGTGATACTCATTTTGCTTCCACACTTCAGAGAAAATGCTCTGCTTCCAGCAATAAAACACTGTTATTGAAAACAAAACAAACAAACAAAAACTAGTCATGTGAGTGGGTTGCTTTCCAGCAGCTAGTTTGGTTACTTACAGTCTAGTCTGTAGTATTCCTGTGGCCATCCATTCAGATTTTTTCCAAGTTTTGGCATTTGTTTCTCAATTGGATTCTGTTCTATTCAATAGATAATGTGAGCAGCAAAATAATGTTCCATTTTGTCACACCTTTTGTTTTTTTAAAATGTATTTTGAAATTATTATTTTAAAATATTTTTTACCTTATAGCAGAGTAAGAAAGCTTCCTTTCTTTTGCAGGAGTTTGCTCCACGTGTGGTTGTCATGTATTTCATTGCTGCTGTAGCTTTTCTCTTCTATATTTCCAAAGTTCCAGAAAGATACTTTCCAGGTATGAAATTCTGTTATGTTTTTCTGCAGTCTTTGCTGTGAGCTCTGAATTTATGATGAGAGTACAGTTGATTATGTTCTACTTAACATGCATTGGCACCGAAAGAACTCAAACTTGGTGTGTACTTCAGTCAAAAGAAGTCAGGTGACTTTTGTTGTTCTTCATTAAAGAATTTAAGTATCTCCCAGCCAGCTGAACATGTGACTGAGCTTGGGAATAGACTGCTTGCTACTTGCCTTGCATGAGTTAATGCAAATTTAACAACTGCTTCCCTTTCTGTTCCCCACAGGACAGCTCAACTACCTCGGCTCTAGTCACCAAATATGGCACATCCTTGCAGTAGTGATGTTGTACTGGTGGCACCAGTCTGCAGTGTACATCATGCAGTACCGACACAGCAAGCCCTGTCCTGAGCATAGTATGGACTTGTGAGTGAAGGTATAGCCTTTGTGCCTGTGGAAACATGAGATTTTAACAAGTAGAGAGTTAAGTAATCTTGTTTTTAATATATCACAAGGTTCCATTAGTTGCTTTAATTTAATTAGCTCCCCCAGAGAAAATGCTTACTAGTGTAATGTTTCCTTGTGAATAAGCAAACGGCTATTTTGATAGCAGGCAGACTACTGCTGCTGTGAGGCTGCAATGCCCTCAAGCAAGGTTTTAGAGCAGGCTGGACAAATCTCCGCCAGGTCCCTAACAGCTCTGTTTGACAACAGTTGCAAGCACTTATCAACATTTGTTTATATGTAGCTTTTTCTTAAGGTTTTGTCAGGTTTTTTTAGCCTACTATGCATTGGATTTGGGGCAGTTAGCTAAGAGTTAATATTTCCTATGCGTAATAACTGATGATTTTTTTTTTCCTCAACTGTCTTTCAGAGGCACTCCAATGAAGCTTCTGACTACAGGAGTCTGAACCTTACAAATATGCAGAACTATGAAAGTAAGCACTAAGGCAGTTCCTTTCCAACTTCTGGACTGTTACCCTACTCACTGAGATGATACATTAACAGGAATGCTGGGGAAAAAAGCAGCATTGCCTGGATCTCAGTACAACGTCTGAACATCTCTTGAACATCTCCAGGGTCAGTGACTCCACCACCTCCCTGGGCAGCCCATTCCAGCACCTGAGCACTGTCTCAGAAGAAGTATTTCCTAACATCCAACCTGAATCTCCCCTGGCACAACTTGAGGCCATTCTCTCTGAGATATGAGATTCATTTCCTTCTCATCATTTCCTGCTCTGCAATCAAGTACAAAGCAGGTCTTCCTTAGAATGGAACAACAAAAAGGTGGGCTGTAGAACTAAGCATTTGGAGCACTATGTTATTTTCCTGCTTGAATCACAGAATGGCCAGGGTGGGAAGGAACCTCAAGGATCATGAATCTCCAACGCCCCTGCCGCATGCAGGGCCACCAACCTCCCCGTTTAATACTAGACCAGACTGCCCAGGGCCCCATCCAACCTGGCCTTGAACACCTCTAGGGACGGGGCATCCACCACCTCTCTGGGCAGCCTGTTCCAGCACCTCACCACTCTCTCTGTAAAGAACTTGGTAAATACGAACAACAGAATTGTATACCATTGCTAAGCTAGCAGGCCCATATGCCATTTCTTCAGGTTTTGTTTCAGCACAGAACAAAAAGACACGCTCCCAATAGCGTGCTTGTAGAACTGTGATTAACTGAGTGGCTGGTCTTGGCTCTAAACTGCATTGGTACAGAGCGCTATATCCTTCAGAATCATTGTCTAAGTGATGTGTGTACACTTCCAACATCAGGACAGTAATGTGTAATGTCAAATTCAGTGGAGTATTGTACTTTTCTAGTTGTTTCCCTTTTTCTGGGAGATGGATGTTATCTACCCTATCTATCTTGATTTCAAATCTTAAGTTGTTTCCTCAAGTATAGGTGGTGCCATTACTTCAACAAATCTCTCTGCAGCACTCTGGTGCAGCTGAACAGTGTTCTGAAATATTTCAGGAGTAGTCTTACACTTGCTGTTACCCTGGAATTAGTAGAAGTGCAAAGGATTATTTTTCTAAGTTACATGTTCTTTTAGCAGGTGTACATAACAAGCCCAGAGTAGTAAGACTGCTATGAATTCAAGCCACTGAACTTTGGCCTTTTAATGACTCATGCTGTACTTCCAACACTTCATTAGTCGAAGTGATTTATTGCCATTTGCTTTCTGCAGTAAAAAAAACAACTTTGGGTTTTTATAGTCTGCAGTTAAACCATGTCTTGGTTTAATGTCATCACTAAAGAGACATGAGCTATGCAGGTTGTTAGATACCTGGTGCTCAGCATGAAGCTCAATGGGTGCCAGCCTGGAGGCTGGCAGGGTGCTGTTCAGTCCCACCGAAGTTGCCTCTATCCTGGGCAAAACATTCCCAGCTCCCCTCAGCCTTCTACACAGGGAACGTGCCAAGGGAATAGTGATAGACATTTACTGACAAGTATTTACCTTGTACCAGGGATGGAGGAGGCAGGACCCTTCCTCTTCTACTGGTATGCTGGACAGCAATGCTGTCACTTAAGCTCAGTGAGGATTTGGTGTTTTTCCTTCCCAGCTCCAGAAACAGTTATTGGAAAGAACTAAATGCATTTGAAGTTCAAATCCCAGTCTTCTGAGCCTTCCAGTATGAACACTGATTTTTTTTTTCTTCTTTTTAAACTTGACAGTAAAGCAAGTTTCAAGTGCACTAATGACTACTGCTAAAGCCTGACAAGGACCCTGCAATTGTTAAAGCTTGTTTTCAGTGTTACATGAACAATAACATTTGAAGAATCTGTGACTGTGTACTGAAAACATACTCATTTTACAGTTTGCTAATATTTTTTTTTCAAACTAATTACTGTAGCAGTTTTCACTGGATAAGAAAAGATTGTTAAGTTGTACATTTTTATTATCCTGACAAAGTTTATCAAACTGCATGATAGCCTTTTCTGTAAATACTGAACCTGTAAATAAATTTTGGTTCATTGGATGTTTACTTGTAACACTTTTAACAGAGTACTCTTAGATGACACATGAATTGCTGCACACAATGTTTGAAATGGGTGACAAGCAGAAGATGGAACAACCATGAATGAGCTACAACTTAGTACCCATATTCTGTTGCAGCTCCTAGTCTTTCTACAGTGTTGGTTTTCTGCAGCTTAGATAAGAGTAAAACCAGTAGAAGCAGTCACCAAAAAACTGCTCTGGCTAATAGTTGGCAGAATGAGTCAAATCAAGTGAAAAACATGTCTGTAAGATGAAGTGCAGAACTAAGTGTGGAGTTAGCAATGAAAATTAAAATTCTGGCCCCTAAAAAGGGATAAAGCTTCAGTTAGCAGCTACGAATCTGAGTGTGTCCTTTCAAAAAGCATTCTTGGTTTTGAAAGTAGGAAGGCTTAAAAGAAGTAATACTGAACCTAAGGACAGACTTAATATATTATCAACAAGTTGAACCAAGATGGCAATAGCGGGCTGCTAATGTAACCATCATTAAAAAACATCAACAGGAACCTACAGCCACAAAAAGCAACTAGGAGAAACAACACTGCTTATAGAATAACTTACAGCCTAAATGAGAGTATACTTAATAATGCCATGTTTAAGGACATCTGCGAAGTCACTGTTATCATGTTTATTTATTTAACAACTGCAACATTTATGACATACATCAGTTTCACAAAACTCTGTTTAGTGGTACACAAAAAAGCTTTAGAAACTTGAAGTCTAACAAGAAATGGAAGTGTAGTTCAGGAAAGTGCACTTAAAAGCTGAATGCCAGCAATTTTAAAATAGATTTTATGCTCTTTAATATTAGGTGATGCCTTAGTCACAAACTCAGCTATACACACCACTTCCTCAATTTTTCTTTGAAAAGAAGCGCTGTAGAAAAGTAACTCAGCAGCCACCCCTTGCACTTTTTTCTCTTGCAGGTTTTCCTTATTCACTCCTCCTAGTTTCATCAGAATGATTGTGGCTGCAATGTTACTAAAAACACAGTGCGATGTGTGCGAGCATGTGTATATTTTATATATATTTCTCATATATAAAAATACACTATATAGTATAAAAAACTCCAGATAAACTCTTATTCTCACAGTAGCAAATATACCAACTTATTTTCACAGTACTTAGTTTTATTAACTGGGACAACCAGAATGATTAAAAAATTATTTCCTTGAAAGTTGGTTTTCGCAGGTCCCACATGACACAAGTCAGCAAAAGCAATTCCACAAGTCTCACAGCTATTGAGAGTCTGCAGAGAAACTCACTCTCTTATCTTTCTTTCAGTGACTATAACCATAAAGGGCTTCTTAGTACCTTTGACAAAAACTGCCCAAAGCAGCTGATTCTGACAGGTCTATGGTTCAGTCATTCAGCAGACTGAAAGAACTGTTAAAAAGCTATTTCCTGGTGGAAGGGAAGTGTGAATTCCTTACCTTGTGATCACCATCTTCACAGACACATGGTACAAGTCTAAGAGCACACGGTCTTTCCAGTATTTCAGGTAAGGTCACAATACACTCCATGAATGACAAGCGCACAGGTAAAGGTATCGACATGCTGAATAAAGGCAAAAGGATACTATGTTCCCCAGCAGTACCACGCTTTGCCTCTGCTGAACCATAACTGAAGCTTAAACCCAGGCTGCAAACTAGATAGACCACATAAAGTTGACACAGTGAGGCATACTCATCTCAGATGAGAGAAAAAAATCATTTTAACTCAAGAAATGTAAAAACTGCATGTATGCAAAAAGTTGTTTCATAAGCGTAGTACAAAGATCAAGGCTTATTAAGGCCACAAGAAAGCAAGTATCATTGGCTGTAACTCAGAGGCAGCCAGAGGCACAATGCCAGTTTCAGAGTAACTTGGATTTAAGGTTTGCTTTCATCTCCCCTATCAGTTATTGTATGCAATCCAACTTCAGCTTTCCTGTACTGTAATAAAACCATGTGTGAGCCCTCTGTCAAAAAAATAAAGTAGTAAAAAAATCCA